GCGGGAAAATTTGGTTTGGGATTGGCGTGATGGACGAAGGGCCGGTGTTACCCTCGGCTCACACAAAGTTGACGAATTTCCATTCAGGACGACACGTTGTCATAGGTCGGCTGGATAGTTCATTATACTTGCTGATGCCTCGATCCGATACGCGCGCGCGTGAATGTTCGATAATTTATACCAAATTGCGCCATGCCCTTAGAATGATGACAGGGTTACGTTGTCATAGGTCAGCTGACAGACTGATTATACTTGCTAATTGTCCTTTTTTTCGTCATTCCGTTTCGACGGAACCTTGCGATATCCACCGATATAGTTGTCTCCGATACACGTGGACGCTTTCCAGAGCTTTTTCGATTCCCCCTCGGTTCGATCGTGAAACGTGGTTGCATCAGATCGAGAGACGATTGCCTTTCCTTTCGACTTGCCACCTTGCGCGACGATCGAATTAATTTCTTTTTTCTTTTTCTTTTTCCCCCTTCCAAAATCCAAAATCTAATGTATTTCTTCGTAATTTTCTTAATTTCTTATTATTATTTGTACGTTTAATTGTGACTCGTTATTTATCATCGCAATGTCGTAAAATTGGATTAAAATCATTTTACGTTTCGAATCGCTTAGTTTCTTTTTTCCCCCTTGCAAAATCCAAAATCTAATTCCTTCGTAATTTTCTCAATTTCTTATATTTGTACGTTTAATTGTGACTCGTTATTTATCACGCATTGTAAAATTGTCGTAAAATTGGATTAAAATAATTTTACGTTACGAATCGCTTAGTTTCTTTTTTCCCCCTTGCAAAATCCAAAATCTAATTCCTTCGTAATTTTCTCAATTTCTTATATTTGTGCGTTTAATTACGACTCGTTATTTATCACGCATCGCAATGTGGTAAAATTGGATTAAAGTCACTTTACGTTTCGATTTTTGTTCTCTCTTGTTTAATTAAGACGGAAGTCAATTAAAAAGTAATTTTCTTTTGAAATTATATCTACGACCAGAGCGATCAGCTGAGAGTTTATTTTAAAATAGTAACCTTCCTTCTCTATGGTCTCTTTAAATCCGAACGAATTACAATCGCGGCGGAGAATCACGCCACGGCCAATAGCGGATTCAAATGTGATATTCAAATACGATTCCGCCGATTCTATCCATCCTCCTAGGTCCTTAATTCTCGAGGCAGAGGTATACTGCCGGCCACCCACGGCTACTTTGCTTTTCAAAAATCACGCACACGTGAGGGTACGCATGTAGGAAGGCTGGCAAGCTCAACCAGATATGGAGAAAGAAAACGGAAGCCGTCAATTACATAATGCATTCGAATCGACGTACGAGTTCGATCGGATCTCTCTCTCTCCGCCTGTTGGTACACAAAACGGGGATGTCGGTGCGCGTGATGGGCGATCCTCGAGGTCATGGTCACGACTTGTCTCGCAGAGACGCGTCAAATTTAGTCGGCTTTAAAAAAAAAAAAAAAAAAAAAAAAGAAAAAAAAGAAAAAACGTTCAGTCTCAGCGACGTTCCTTTCTCTCGATTCCTCTTTTCTCGAGAACTATGAAGTTTTAATTTAGTTTGGTTTTAATTTTCGAACAAATTAATTAATCTTCTTCAATCTCGTCCTTTTTCATTTTTCTTTTTTTCACGCGTATATTAACGTCAACGAAATTATTACCTTATCGAAGATCGAAATTGTTTCTAAATTTTCAAAATTTTTCTAAATTACAAAGTTTTAATTCTCTCGAAATTCTTGCTTTTTTTTTTTTTTGCTTGATAATCTCGATCGATTCCCGATAACAAACGAGAGATCGGGAGGGAAATCGGCAAGGAGATTCTGATCTTGGAAATCAAGGTCGAAAACGATACCCATCGAGGAGTAAATTTAACCACGGTTGAACGTATATATTTTTATTCGCCTCTTGAAATTCTAATCTCTCTCTCTCTACTAGGCTTTTAATCCTCTTACCTCCTCCCCGTCTCCCTCCATCGATGCTTCAATAATTCAACACCAGCCTCGCGTGTCGAATCCTTCCGCCGTTATTCCGCGCCGCTAATCATCTTTCTACGATTCCTCTTTCTCTCTCTCTCTCTCTCTCTCTCTCTCGTCGAATGTGACAACTCTCGAAACGAAACGTTCCTGGAAACGGAGGCATCCAACAGGACACTGAGTTATTTCCTCCGCTGTTTTTTTTTTCCTGCTGCGTTCCCCTCTTCTTCTTCTTTTTCTTTTCGTTTTCTTTTCCACGCGGAAACACGCGGCGGAAGCTACGCAACATGGAGGGGAGAGGAGGGGGAGGAGGAGAAAAGCGTTGGAAAGGTGGCAGCTGTGAACTCGGTTCAGAAGTGCGAGACGCTTGATCGTCGAGGTCATGGTCACGCGCCGGCTCATGAAAGCCGATAGACGGGATTCAAAATTATTTTCCAGTCATTGAATCTTATCGGTTTATCGGTTTACCGATATGCGATATTTATTACCATTTCATCCATGATATTGATTTTCTCGTGCGTCGTGTTTTCGCGCCTTCTATTTAAATCGAAATCGATTCAAATTATATTTTTATATATATAGTTGTTCATCGCGTCGCAATCAGTTTGAACGATATATATATATATATATATATATCATATTGTTATGCAATATCGATGGAAAAAAGAAAAAAATTTGATATTCACTCGCGTCGCTATCGCGAAAGAAGCAAAAAAGCGTCCTATTACGCGGCGTCAAGGTACACGTGTAACTTTCTTGTAATCTTCTCGGCTTTTCGTGTCAGCAAACGTGAAACGTTCCAGAAACATTATCTGCAATAAGTGCACAGTCATTTCAACGCGTGATCGGAATCTAGTGACGCGTTCCTTATTTCCGGGCGAAATATTAAATATATTTATATTTTCTTCTCGTAAAAAAAAAAAAAAAAAAAAAAAACGAAAGAACACGCTTCTATGACAAATATATACATATATATATTGAAAATAATTTTGAAACATAATTATTTTCGAGTAGATAAAAAAGATTAATTCGAGAGACAAGTTTATCTTCTTCATCCGTTTCATCATCGTATTCCATATTAAGCATTTCGAAATATTTTTTCTTCGAAACACGGCCGACGAGATCACGTTCCATTTAAAACAATGTATAGCGACGATTGGAACGATGCGCAAATGTGCGTGCGCAAATCGAGCTCGTTCACTTAGATAGGTCCCGAATAGATGTCACTGGTTCGTCCGCATACGATCTATAACCCGACAAGTATCTAATTTCCACATGGTCTGAGATAGCGACTGGAAGAGGCGGCGAAGAAAACTGCGCAGGAAGACGCGTCTCGAGAAAAAGGGAGGGAATGCTTCGAATATGGAGCTGTGGTGCAATTTCCCGTTTCCGCCGACCCTGTGCCGAGTTATCTACCTGTCGGCGCGTCCAACCAAATCTCATATTCCGTCGTACGGAATTCTCGATGCCAATGCTGGAAAAGAAACAAAAAAAAAAAAAAAAAGGAAAAAGAGAACAAGTTTTATCGATCCACTCGATTATCGATTCTCCGTAACGCGAATATCCTTCTCCTGTTAAATTTTTCAACTCGCGCGTCATAAAATATTTTTACGCGTCATCAAACATTTTTATCGCGAGACAAGAAACGAAATTACGCGATATCCAAAAGAGGCGAATATTTTCAAATGTGTCCACCGATTTAAATGGGAATTGACAAAGCATCGAGGAAATAATTGGCGTAACAAGAGAGATTCTGGGCGAAAATAAAGGGTGGAAAAGATGAAGGGAGAAGTTGAAGGGGGTCTGGCTGCGCGAAGAGAAACGTGTTTCGATGAGTAGACGATCGGGAAAGATCGGCTCGAGGGAAAGAAGAGGGACCGAAAGCCGATTTCCCGTTTCCATCGATCCCGATTCGTCGCGACGCCTGCGAATCGGCCTTTTCCGTTGAATTATGTTGATAGCATTCATTCTCGAATGATGATCGCCTCGGCTCGAGCGGAGGGGAGGCAAGTTGCCATCGAGGAGGCATTTCAGACGGAGGCGATAAAAACGGAACGAGGTGGCCGAGGAATAGATACGAGATCGAGATATAAACTATATAAACTAGGAGCAGATGACAAACGAATCCGTGGCCCTTCACGGATCTAGGGATTTTTCTTCTTCTTCTTCTTCTTCTTCGTTGCATGAGGAATTTTTTTCTCTCGACGACCAGGGACGTGCGTCGAACGAGAAATATCCATCGAAGGATATTTTCTTCTCTCGGAATTTTAAAGGTTTTAAGACGTTTTTTTTTTTTTCGTTTCAGAATTTTTCAAAGTTTCGAACAAGGAGAAATATTCGCGAAATCAGCGAATATATTTCGATATTATATTTGTTTCGGAATTTTTTTTTTTTTTCTCAGAATTTTAGAATAAGCAATTCATTCGGGATGTATTAATTTTTTTTCAGCGTTTTTTTCGTTTTTGTCGTTCGAAATTTATTCGAACCACCTTCACGATTCACCTCCGAAGATTCGTTCTCTTTGCTTCGACTTATAGATACGGCAAAGTTGCAACAAGGATGAGCGGGTCAACCGTCAACGTATCGGCTACATTGTTGTAATACTGATACGCGCAACAATTTAGAAACCAAATTGCTATTTTCTATTGCGATTTCGCGTTGTCGATTCCTTTTCCTCTGCTTGTCTCGCATTTGTATTATTTTTTCCCCCCTTCGAGAACGGAAAAGAAAGAAAAAGAAAGGAAAAAAAAAAAAAAGGGTAAAAGTTTAGAAATTGCTTTATCGACAACGGGACACACTTTCTCGATCGAGATATGGTTATTCAAAGCAATGTGAAATGCGGGAAAGGTTGCGAGACGGTATCGATCAAACGAAGCCTAGGCAACGAGTGCTGTCAATGCGAGTTTCTTGTATTTTTGAGGAGTCATGTTAAAATAATCGCTTTCGAAAATTTCTCACACGCTTACGGAAGATTTAGCTTCTATATACAGTAGCGTTAGATATAAAGGGACGTGGTAAAATGCAAGAAGAGTGCGACTTTCAATCCTCTTTGATGGAGAAAAAACTCTCGGCCGAAGCCAGGCTCGACACCGCAGCAAGTAGTATCACTTTATCGGAAACAGAGATTAAAAAATCGGTTAGAATCCATTTCCGTTAAATCTCTTCTCTCTTAATTTCACGTTATATCACGTTGTTGAAAATTTGGAAGACGAAAGAGGTAACAAGTTTTTTTTCCTTGCGTGAGAGAGGTTAGCTTCGATCGACACTATGAAGTAATACGACACGCATAATAATACGACATACATTTTTTTATCCTTTTAAAATTAAAAAATCTCTCCAACGACGACGAGAGACGATTAACTCGCCTCGAATCGATTAAAATACTCTCGTTTGATGAATTTTCCAAATTTTCTTTTCTTCGCTTCTCGAAATATCTGGTGGAAAGAAGGTAAAAAATCAACCCCTTTCCGTTTTTAAAGATACCGAAAGATTCGTCCGTGGATTTCGACGTCCTTTCCGCCTCGTCGTTGGACGTTCTCACGAAGATGGGCGTAGAATTACAAAAGAACGAGAGCGCGTCGGAGGAGCAGGCATTGGCGACCGCATCTACTCCGGAGCCGATACCGGAAGTCGACAACGATGACGACTCTAACTGGCTCTCGTATTTCGATTGTAACGCAATATTCGACGTGACCTACGAGAATCAATCTTATTACAACTCGACCAAAGCCGAGAAGGACAGCGACAGCGATTTGGACGACACTTTGACGTTCGACGACGCCGAGGAAGGCGAGGCCCTCGTCCTGGACGAGAACGACACCTACCCGAATTCTTATCAACAATCGTTCGAGGAGACCTGCGAGAAGAAATTGGACAACAATAACTTTGTCGTCTCCGATAAAGCTTCTATACTCGAGATAAATCAAGATTCGCCCAGCGTTGCCGAGAATATTGATTCGGACCAAGGGGCGAAGGAGGGCGAGGAGAAGGATCGAAACGGGGATAATCTCGAGGCTCGCGACTCGACCGATCGGATCGACGAGAACGCGAACGACAATGAGACTTCTGCCAGGATCGAGTCGATGACGATCGAGAAGATCGAAGAGGTCTCGAGTCGAGAGGACGAGTCGAACGTGGCCAAGGAAACGATAATAGAGTTGAAGAAGACGGAGGGCAAAATGGACGATTTCTCGAGCGATTCCGAGGACGAGTACGAGGGGAATCTGATTTATTCCTCGCCCAATGTGAACATATCCGCGTATTTTAAATACAGGGACAGTATGAAGGAGCCCAAGTACGAGGCGACTATAGATCAATTGAACGCCATGTACTCGAAGGAATCGAGTAAATCTGTGATTTTGGAGGAAATTGTCGAGGAGCCGTGCGTCGAGGAGGCGGGGAAAAATTCGAACGGAACGGCAAACGGAACGAACGAGGGCGAGTGCCTGAAGGTGCGGGAGGAGTTGAAGCAGGGGCAGGAGGAGGTGAAGGAGGGGCAGGAGGAGCTGAAGCAGGAGGAGCAGAAGGAGGGGGAAGGGGCGAATTTGACGGGGAGCGCGATAATAATTGCTCCGGATCAAAGGAGAGAAAGATCCAAGTTCGTGGAATTGAATTCTCCTGAGGAGTATTTGGAGAAATTGGCGGAGATCACGGAACCGGATTGTCCGAGAACGGAGGAGGAAGCTCACGAGAAGTTGAAGAAGATCGCGGAGGGGAAGGCGGAGATAGAGAACAGGAAGAACGAAGCTCTGGAGGATTTGTCGGTGGAATTCGATAAGATCGAGAAACTCGTCGCGGAAACGAAGTCCGCGAACCAAGCGTACGACGAAAGCGGATCGGACGAAAGCTCGGACGAGGCGAAGGAGGGGGATATAGACGTGGGGAAGGACATAGAATTGCCTTTGACCAAGGATCAAGTGGCGGAGAGCTTTAAATTCAAAACTGTTCAGAAGAGCGTGGAGGAGGAGGAGAAGCGTCGCGCGGAATTGTTGCAAGAATGTCTCCAAGTGATTCCAAAAATACCGGAAACGGAGGAATCCGTGGACGAGGATCTCGTCGCGATCGGGGGGGTCGAGCGAGACGTCGAGGATGTCGCGAAAGAGAAGGTGGAGGGTGACGGCGACGAAGATACCGGCACGTCGGAGGCCTCGAAAGAGAAGGAGAAGGAGGGTGGGGGGGAGGGGGAGGAAGGCGGGCGCGCGAACGAGGCGATTGTCGACGAGGCCTCGGCGGAAACCAAGTCAACCGTCCAAGGAATCGTCCAAGACATTATCGACGAAACCGAGGACTCGCTGTTCTGGCGATTCAAGAAGGAGCCGGAGAGGACTTACATCAAGGGGAAGGTGTACGATTTCGACGAGAAGAAACACGGCGCCAGGTACAGTTGCCTTGAACCGGTGCCATCCGTTGATGCATTTACATCGGCATGTACGTGATATAGTATTTTTATGTTTGGTAAAGTAAACGGTATCTGGTTCCAGAATGACCGAGGAGTTTTTGAAAAAGCACTGCAAGCAGCATAAACTTTATCAAACACCGCATCTGAACGACGTACTTTATCTTCATTACAAAGGTTAATTTTAACACGAGCTTTATCGCTCGTTTACGAATCTAACTAAAAAAAAAAAAAAAAGAAAAAAAGAAAAGAAAAGAAAAGAAAAAAAGAAAGGAAAAGAAAGAAAAAAAGAAAAGAAAAAAAGAACGTAACAAAATTTTTCACATATTATTCATAAATAAATAAATAAATAAATAAATAAATATAAAATGAAAAAATTCTATACATTGTACACAAATGAAATGTTATAAATTTGCAATAAAAAACGCTGCCAAAGTACCACTTTATCGCATCGTTTTTGTAGCAAAAAAAAAAAAAAAAAAAAAAAAAGAAAGAGAAAGAGAAAAAAAGAGAGAGAGAGAGAGAGACGGAGAAAAAAGAACATATACCCACTATTTTTCTCGCAATAGAAGATTTCCCTTTTCAGGTTTCTCTTTCATCGAGAACCTCGAGAAGTATACAGGCTTGAAGTGTTTGTGGCTGGAGAACAACGGGATCAGGGAGATCGCGAATCTGGAGAATCAGAGCGAGCTCAAGTGCTTGTTCCTTCACAATAATTTGATCAGCAAGATCGAGAATCTCGAGTACCTGACCAAGCTCGACACTCTGAACCTCTCTTACAACACTATACGAAGGATTGAGAATCTCGGTGACTCGAGTCGAAGCTGGGTATCCTTGATGACCTTGACCTTGACGCGCCTCTGCTTTCAGATAGCCTCAAGTTCCTGAATACTCTAAACCTGTCGCACAACTACTTACAAAGTACCGGTGACATTGAGCATCTCCGATTGCTGGACAGCCTCTCGGTACTGGATATTTCTCACAACAGGATAGACACCGACGAAGTCGTTAATGTGAGTCCGTTATGTTTTCCTTAAGCATCTGGCGTCGCTTCGACGGTGATTGCTTCAGCTGATTTCCACGGCCGATTTCAACCGGTGATGTAATTTCACGAAACCGTGGTGGTGGCCGGGCCTACTTTTGTAACGTGTCTCGTCCTTGCACAATATTTTTCTTCTTCTTCTTTCTTTCTTTCTTTCTTTCTTTCTTTCTTTCCTTTTTCTTCTTCTCCTCCCTCCTTCTTCCCTTAAATATTGGAAATACGTACATATACATATTCCAGAGCGGATAGACCACTCTATTTACTACCATTGCACGCCCGATAATATATTTTCCACGAGATTCGATTCGTTTGCTTTGTCGCGGAACAAAATTTGTGAAGTAACAATTTTTCATAATTTTATTATTACTATTATTATTATTATTATTACTATTATTATTATTACTATTACTATTATTATTATTATTATTATTATTATTATTATTATTATTATTATTATTATTATTATTATTATTATTATTACTATTAAAACGATTCGAAAGTTTTTATCTTCACCAGATATTGGGAGACATGAAAGAGTTGCGCGTCGTGTCCCTGATGGGAAATCCGATCCTGAAGGCGATCAAACTGTATCGCAAGACTATGATCCTCAAGTGTAAGAATCTCAAGTATCTAGACGATAGGCCGGTATTTCCAAGAGATCGTGCCTGCGCCGAGGCTTGGTAAGTCGTGGTCCAGTTTGGACATTTGGATCCGCGGTACCGCGACACAACAAGTTGCACAAAATTGTTGCACGTATTGGCCGCGCTCGCGTCGTGGATTCGTGTGTCGGGATGGAGCGAGAACACGTTTTTTTCTAGATATTTAGAGTCGGTTCAATGTTACAAGCTAACGAAACTGTTACGAAGACAGGATGCGAGGGGGGCCCGAGGAAGAGGCGGCCGAGAGGAAACGGTGGATCGAGGCGGAGCAGAAGAAAATCAATGATAGCGTGCTCGGTGAGTAAAAATCGAAAGGTAGATGATGTATAGGACTCGTTTGGCTCCTCAACCAAACGGTCGCTCTCGATTTTTTCGCACCTTTTCATTTCTGCACGAAAGTTCCTTTCCTCCGAACCCTCAAACGCTCTCTCGCGTTTATTTTCTTTTCCCTCTTCTTACATACTTATTTCCTCCGCAAGAAGATCGATAAAAACCCCGCCGCAAAAAAAAAAAAAAAAAAAAAAAAAAGAAAGAAAAAAATAACACGGGCACAGTCTGAAATTTTTCACAGGTATGTGTCGTTTCTCTTTCTCACCGTTTTATCGCGAAGATATTAAAGGTAAACGCTTAATGTTAAAACTCGTTATCGAATTTATCGAAAAAAATTTTTCACGACAATTTTCCCTCCGATTATCGAAAGGAAAACGAGATCGTGGAATATTTCAAATATATATATATACACATAAGATGTATATAAACGCGTCTATCTAATCTGTTACCCTGTTTCGATTTCTATTTTCTCGTGGTCCCGTGGTGCCGCCCTCGAAAGCCCTGATAAACAAAAGGAAGCAGTGCAAACCGGTCGAGACGTCCGAAAAGGAGGCGGAGGATAAGAAAAGGACGAAGGAGGACGAAGAAGTAGCCGCGACCACGGTTGTCTGCACGAGCGACGAACTGGTAAGAAACTAGTTTTGTCAAGGTCTGATACAGAATTCGTGCCTCGAATAATATCACCACCCATTCGGTCCCATCCACTATTTGATCATTCACCACGCGAAACCCCTTATGCCGGCCTGATCAACGTTCAAGCTCAATCTGGAGAAGAAGAAAAAGTTGGAGGTGTCCTCATCCTCCGACAGCTCCTCCGCGTCCTCGTCGTCGGGCGAAGAGGAGGACGACGGGCCGATGCAAAAATCGAGGATCGAGAAAAGTGACGGAAGGAGGCCGATGGCGATGGATGAAGGAGGGAAAGCTTCTTCGCCCGATCGAGGGGGGAACGATATTTTGTTACCCTGGAAAACTCAGGTATATTTCACGTTTCCATGATTGAAAGTGAAATAGCGTGGCTGTATCATCAATTCTCCGATCGTGCTGCTCTTCTCTCTCTGAATGAAATTTTCTTCAGAAGAGAGAATTCTATTTTTGTATCGTTCGAATTACACGCTTTCGAAGGTTCCCGCTCGTAAGAGCGTTAAAAAGTTGGTAGAGGTGATAGAGGAGGATACGAAGGAATTGGTGGCTGGCGATACGATACGAGAGCGGACGACGATAGGGAAGGGAATTTTAGAAGAACCAAGTATCGATGATTATCCATCGATCGATGGCGAGATACGAGGGAGTAGGACGAACGAGATTACTCCATCCTGCTGTAAGTGAGAGAAACGGCTATGTTGTTATGTTAAATTAATACGTAAGAAGAAGGAAACTTATCCGTTGTTAATTCCATTCTTCTATTTTTCAGCCGAAGAGCAAGGAAAGTTTAAAAGTGTCTCGGTTTCTTGTAATATTTCGGGCGCGAAGAGCGATGAAAGGAAGAAGGAAGGTAATATAGCGAGCAACGAATGCCCGCCCAAAGATATCCTCGACAATTATCGAAGAAGGGACGATCCGCATCCTTTGAGCGGCCAGTTGAGCAGTATCAGGGAGGACATGAAGGAGTTCTGCGCCGAGATGGACAAATTCGTGGAGAAGAACAAGTTCGTGTTGAAGGATAGCGATAAAACGAGGAAGGGGGAGTCATCGGCGGGCGAGGAGAAAGATTCGTTCAAATGGTGGGACACGAAGGAGAGGAAGTTGAAGGTGAAAGAGATCTTGAGGCAGAGAGAGGAAGCGGAGAAGAGATCGAAAAATGTCAAGAGGGTCGAAATTGTCGAGGTCGATAAAGAAGAAGAAAAAGAAGAGGAAGAAAAAGAAGAAGAAGAAGAAGAAGAAGAAGAAGAAAAGGAAGAGGAAGCTTCGAAGAATGTTAAAGAAGCGGTTAAAGACGAGAAGAAGGTTCCATCTTGCCAAAGTGTGTACGATCTATTGAATCTGAAGAAGTGTCCTCAAATTTTGTTGAAGGATGTGAAAACTCGTGCTAGAGCCGACGAAGACGACGCCATGTTAAAATGCGAATCTGTGAAAAACGATAATAGCAAGGATCGCCTCTCGGGATTGTACAATTCTTTGTTCAACGAGATGAATTATAGAAGCGGGATCGAGAAAAATCGATCCAGGAAATCGCTCAGTTCCCAAGAATTGTTGACATTGGAGAAAATAGACGAAACCGCCGAGGAGACAACACGATCCGCGAGTTGCATCGACATAATCTCTTCGGATGTCGATAATTCAGAGATAATCAGCGTTAAGAGCGAGCCTGTTAATGTAAAAATCATGGAAACGAGCACCGCCAACGTAACATCCCTAAATTCCACCGACGACGAGATATCGGACAGCGAGTCCGTTAAAACAATAATTAACAATTACGATAAATCAACAAGAGAAATCGACGAAGAGGCAAACGCGAGTACGAATGATATACCAGGAGAGCCGGAAGAGAATAATCGCGGACGAGACAACGTCTCTGATAACGTGAAAATTATCGAAGCGCAGAGCGACAACGAAGAAGTCCAATCGTTAGAGGCCGCGTCCGAAAAGGACGGGAAGGTGTCCTCGAACGTTGAAAAATCGACGATATCTTCTAAATCGCATAAAAGATCGCGCGATTGCGAATGCCAAGACGTAGCCAGTAAAAAGTTCCACTTGATCGAGGAGATAGACGGCGAGCAAAATCCAACAAGCAGCGAAACGACGGTGGATGGTATATCTGAAAAGTGCAAACGACATTTCATAAAAGAGGCGAGGGAGTTCGTGAAGAAGGAATCGCCTCTGATAGACCAGTGCATAGAGGATTTAATAAGTAAAAAATCGAAGGGGAATTGGGATTTGAAGAATAATCAAGAGGACTTTTTAACTTGTACAGCTTTGAACATCACCTCTGACATATTTTCCAATAAAACTTCGGAGAATTCGGACAAGAGAATCGGTTCAACGTCGGACGAGCAAAATCGAGCGGCGGAGGCGAAAAAACTTTTCAACGTTCAAAATTCTGAAGATAATCGAGAGGTTGAAAAGTCAGATTCGTCCATCGATAAACAAGTTGGTAAGTTGTTCTCTTAAAAATTGTTTAAAAAGTTTCTACAATACTTCAAGGGGTATCGTATTTCAGATATAAAATCGATTGACAACCTTTTGAAGCAGTCAACAATTGCCCAAAAGCAGTCAAAAATGTGTACGGATCTGTACAAACAATTTTGCAAGCATCTGGAGGAGATAGACAGTAAAAGAAAGCTTTTGATCGAGCCAGACTTCATGAAAAAAAATAAATCGGATCAGGAGGAAAAGAAACGTGACGCTCTATCGCCAAGGGAGACCAAACAATCGAAAGAGGAACAAACAAAATCATTGATCGAGGTAATTTCGGAGGACGCGACCACGAACGTGGAGGAACTCGAAGTTGAGAAGCTAGATCTCGATTCTGATCCTGTCATGGATGCAGAGTTGAAAGATAAAATATTAAAAAATATTAATACTCCGAAAAGCGAGGAGGAAAGAGAAGAGGGGAAGAAATCGGCCGATAAGTTGATGAAGATTTCCAGGGAAGCTATGGCCAAGGGGAAATCGTTGCTCGATCCATCTTTCCCTACCTGCGGTCAGAAAAACGTTAGCGATCGCGATTAATTTCAATTTCAATTTCGTGTATATTCTTGCCTCGTTTATTCGAATAATAATTAATAATTGATCATTATTATTTTTAGTATTTCAAGGACAGTAGGAGATTTTTCATGAATTTGTTAGAGGATGATTTTTCTTCGGAAAAAGATGAGGATCCAGCGAAGAATAATATCCATGAAGAATATGAATCAGAATCGATCATGTTCAGAGAGAATTCCGAGGCATTGATAGAAGAAATGGAGAAATTATCGTCGAAGATGATCGAAGATGACGGTATACAGGGTAATAAAGTTATTGATATTGAAAAAGAAAATGTTGCGATTATTTCAGAGAGCTCTGTGATAAAAATAGAAGAAATCGAGAAATTATCACCGACCGAAGGTAACAGTATTCAAGATGGTAAAATTCTCGATATGGAAAAGGAAAACGTGAACAGAGTGAGGAAAAGTTTGGAGATGCAGATTGTCCAAGGAAACTGAGGGAGGAGAAGCTGGAGGGGATCAAAAATTTTGACAAAATATTAGCATTTAAAAATCTAAAGATAATTCTAAAAAAAAAAAAAAAAAACTTCGTAATATCGTGAAAAAAAATCCTAGTTGTATAAGTTAAGTTGTATCACTGTATTTTCTTTCGTTTGTATTCTCAAATAAACGAATTAAGTTTCCATTTATATATCGGATCGATGAAAATACGCGATGAAAACGAAGAGATCGAAAGATGATGAAAAATAATATAAACGTCTCGCGAGAAGAAGAATAATTCGAACGACGGATGACAAAGATAAACGGAGCCTTCTACTACGTACACTTTATTTCTTTTTTTTTTTTTTTTTGTCCACACTCACATCAATTATATAATAATAATAACGATGATGGCGGTGATCTGGTGAACTATAATTAATAGTAAGAATAATTAATTTGTAATTATGTATAATGACAATCGGCTGCTTGCAAACGAAACAATAGTCTCTGACATTTTCTTACGTTTTCGTCATTTTCTCGAGGACATCGATATTCGGAACAGAGAATATATCCCGTGCCCTCGCAAAAGCTTGGCAAAAAGCTCGTGATACTTTTTTTTTTTTTTTTCTTTATACGTTTATATAGAATGATATCGGAATGAAATTTTTTCCTTCCGTCGCAAATCGCGTCGAACCTTGTTTTTCCTTCACTTTGTTCTTTTTTCCCCTTCTCACTCGCTCTTTCTTCTCCCTCCCCCCCCCCCCTCCCCTCCAATTATTTTTTAACACGTTTATCCGCATGCATTTTACATCTTTCATTTATGTTACGTTATTCGCGCCCTGTTCGACCATTTCCTCGATTATCTCGTTTAATCTCTCGTGTAATGCACGTTATACGACGTTTTATTATTATTATTATTATTATTATTTTTATTTTTATTTTTTTTTTTTCCGAGTGCTCTTAAGAACTATCTTACTGCTCTCCGACTCACCGCAGGAAGTAAAGAAACGTACAGATACATTATGCTTCACTGTTTCTATAATTATTACAATAATAGATTTATAAATCCTCCATTTTCTCTGTTCCCAAACACTCCCGCTCATTCTCCCACGTCACTCATTTTTCTTTTCACGCGAGCAAACTCAAACTTACTTCTCACACTTAATCACGTACAGAACATCTTCGTACATCCGCGTTTCTGTTTTTTTTTTTTCCTTTTTCCTTCTTTTTTTTTTTTTTATATATATATATATGTGTGTGTATCGTTACATTCGCTTTTACACACGCATGCATTCGGTTGCTCCCTAATTGTAAGTTATTATTATTTTTTTTTTTTCTGAACTATACCGAGTGTCGAGGAAGCCGTCGTCGACGACCAGGAGCGATCGAAAAAAAAAAAAAAAAAAAAAAAAAGAAAGGAGACGCGTGTACCGTGGAGATTCAATTTGACATTCGATTGGCGGATATCCGATCAGAAAGGATACAAGGATCGATTATAACGAGAAACGAACGTTTTCTTATCTCTCCCCTGGGATCATCGAGCAACTTTCTTCCTGGCCACCTCGTGTATACGTCTCTTTGGGTTTATTCTTTTGCTTACTATCGTACTGTTTATGTAGTATGTAGGTTGCTGTTTACTTTTGCATGCCGTCAATTGCACGACAATTTCACGTTACGTTGCTTACGTTACGTTTACAGAAAGAGAGAGAGAGAGTACCTTAACGTCTATGCTTTATTTATTTATTTACTTTTTTCCTTTAATATTTAAAAGAGTTTCCTCGAGCTATTATTGAAAAAAAAAAAAAAAAGTTTTCGAGAAGCTCGCCGCTCCGAACTCCCGTTTCTCTTCTCTTTTTTTTTTTTTTCTTTCTTTCTTTCTTTCGCGATTCAGAATGAAACGGCGACTTCGTGAGAGAAAATATAGGCGATCCATTTGTTTTCCCTTTCCCACGTTGGAAAATCGAACGAAAATTGATGGGGTCCCGTACGATTCACGCGAAAACTTGGTCGAATTTGCAATCGCGTCGAGGCGGAAACGAATTGGATCATCGAATTGGATCGGTGGTGGAGGGGAGGGAAACAGTTTGGCGAAAATATTTCGAACTCCTCTCGTTCGAACGCTTATCAGTCTTCTTTTATAATTCTAATCCGAGAAAAAAAATAACATCGATTCTTCGTTTTCATTCTTCGCGTATTCTTGATCCCTGTTTTATATTTCAGACGAGTGTTCGATCCCGAAATTAATTCAATCGATTTTGTACGCGCTCAATTCCAACCTTTTTCGCGGTACTCCTTCGTGGATGCTGCTCGTCTTTGTACTGCAATCGTTACTTTACTTATTTATTTATTTTTTTTTTTGTTTTCTCTAAAAGAGGATTGTCATCGTGCTTCGGTGTTTTCGCGTCACTGCGTGGGAATAAGAAAAATATTCCATAAACGTTATCGAAATAAATATAAATGTAAAATGCGAATGAAGATATGTAAGGTGTATACATTATTGATCCGTAAAATGAATAAATATATTTTGTAACTGTGAATCGAAGGGAGAAGAGGGATCAAAGAAATGTTTCGTGGATTAAAAATCTAATAATAAAATGTTAAAGAATAATTAACGATGAAATCGATGTAATTAAAAATTCGATGAGAAAGAATCGGCACGATTGCAAATTCGAACGACGATTAACAGGGAAAGCAAAATTACGCCGTGCTACGTGTACGACTCGCGACGTGCTGGAGTGGATAAAAATTTGAAATCGTCTCGTCGAAGAATCGGTGAGAAATCAACTGAAACATCTCCAAACGTAAAACATTGTCGAGAGGAAGAGAAAATTTGAAGAATCCCGGTAAAATTGATTCGACATTTCATTGTGCGAAGCAACCAATTTGCTTTGGGAGAAATAAAAGGTAAAAACTCGATCGAAATTCGCGCATCGAGTGAAAAATCGATGACCGCGATAACATGTGCGAGTGTTCAATAAATAAATAGAAATAAAAATAATAAAAAAAAAAAAAAAAAAAAAAAGAAAAAAGATTCGAAGTTTTACTCGAATTCTTTTTTCCTTTTTTTCTTTTTTTCTTGTGCTTTTCTGTCTCTGCTTTTCGCTATCTCATTGACCCTGTTCTTCTCTTGTAATTCTTGTGCATTCTCGTGCATTCTCGTGCAACCTATGCTCAATACTAATGTCTCGCATTAGAGAAACCGAAGTCGTAAACGTCGCTCTGCTCTCTCGCACGAGGGTCTCGAACGAAATCTTCGTACAAAGTGTACTTCGTCGTAGAATGTCTACAAAAGAGATACGAGAACAATTATTATGAAAAACGTTATCTTGTAAACAGTGTTAAAATCTTAAGATAAACAATGTAAGACTATTCGCAACAAGTATCAATAGAAATGGATTCTGACTAATAATAGGATGCGTAATGCTTGTTCCTTGGCCCGCCGATGCTTTTCATCCGTTCGTCTTCAAATTTAATATTTTTTTCTTTCCTTCTTTTTTTTCTTTTTTTTTTTTTTTTTTTTTTTTTTCGTTTCACACGCGTCGCTCGTGGGGAAAATCCCGCGTGACGAGATTCTCGAATCAAGGTCGTAGAAAAAAAATCGATTGGAATCCGATATTAAATTTGACGACGATCCCTTCTCCTCGTTGGACCGTGTCGAGAGGAAAAAAAGAAACGAATCTTCGCTCAACAAGCGCCGCTAATTATATTCCATCGCTAATTCCAGGCGAAAATTCCAAAGCCTTTTCCCCCCTCTGACGATCGGAAAAATCACTTTTTTTCTTTTTTCCTTTTTTTTTCTTTTGTTTCTTTTTTTTTTTTTTTTTTTTTGCGACGCGCTTACAATGGATAACGATCGATATCGAAGTTCATTATCGAAGTTTTGTTTTCTCGCTTGTGCACGTTTTTTTCTTTGGAAAATTTGGCGACTCGTTTCCTCGAACACACGTTTCAACACGCGTTTATGTACATCGTCGAATGGGGATAATAATGTATCGTGAATACGTATACGTATATTTTGTGTATGTGTGTGTACCGTGTGTATACATGCCAGGAAACATGCGAATTGTTCCGAATGAATCATAGATGCCTCGGCTACGTTTTGCGTGTACACGCGGCATGGAGAGAGAGAGAGAAAAAAAAAAAAAAAAAAAAAGAATGCAAAGAATAAATCAACAAGGAGTGTTTGATGACTTCAGTCTTGCATAGAAATCACGCCAGGTTCGCTCTCAATATCGAATGATTTCGTTTTGGTCGATTCCGCGTGTGATGTCTCTTCCTTTTTTTCTTTCTTTCTTTCTTTTTTTTTCTTTTTTTTTTTTTTTAGATTTCTACGCACAATTCTCTTCTATATTGAAAAAACGAGGCGGTATACAGATACAGCTATGGCGATAGCTAAATGTACGAGAAACATTCATCAGGCGATATTCCTTAAACTGCAGTTTCTGAATAAACACACTACGTCGCACATTTCTTCTTCTTCTTCTTCTTCTTCTTCTTCTAAACTTGAATTAGCTACTTAATGGACAGCGCGAATGCCTCCGGAATGTTCGACTTTCGAAGAATCGTTTCAACCTTTTTTCCAAATTTTTCCTTCCACTTCTTTGACAGAAGAATTTTTTTTTTTCTTTTCTATGAAAATTTCGTTCACGCATTTTAAATCTAATAAATAAATCTTTCCATTCTTTCTTCTTTCGTTCTTGCTCGATCGGCGGAAACGATTCTTTCTTATGATCGTATGATTACGTATCGTATTGATGACGATGACGATTGACAGGGGCACCCACGAGACTCGAAACGCGTTGTAATAATGAAGATCGCGTTCGAGCGAGGATATCTAAATGTCGAGTCTACGAAAAAATCTACATGCTTTTATACGATCTTTTGTTTCGGGTGGGAAACACGGCCGCGCTTTCCCTGCGCTTTCAAAGATGATAAAAACAAGGGAAACGCCGACTTCGTGCCCCGTGAGAACAAGGGTTCACGAAGGATGATGATCGTCCGAATGAGAGCTAATCTAGCCGTCGACAATAATTTATTATTATTATTGTTGTTATTATCATTATATATGTGTATATATATATATATATATATATATACATATATATATATACTTTTTATATATATAAAAAAGTGATGAAATCTTTGTAACTAACTATTCATTTAACAATGAAGACGTGCTTCCTCTTGGTTAATCCTTTCGTTAATCCGATATATCCGCTTTTCTTTTCTTTTTTAAATGCTTCCGCTCTTTCGTTCTTCTCTTTCATTTTTCCATCAGCTGCCATTTTCTTCTCTCTCTCGTTCTTTGGCTATATCCTTCACTTAAACTGCGTTATCACGCATCAAGTGTTCTTTTGTACATAACATACACATACACTATATATTATATTTATATATATATATATATATCGTACTTTTTTATATTTGCTCCTAACTTGAAAGAGGCAGTATTGCTGATGGCTTCTCGTCGCCCATCGTAAAAGAAGTTATTAAAATGAGTTTCGCCGGCACGTCTCTTCCATCTCTTCCCCCTTTTTCCTCCACGCATACTGTTCATCGATTTTGAAATAGGACCCAAAATTATATTACACCTCGGTGTGCCTTCTCGTCGAACCAAGAAATCGAACACGGCAACGAGAGACAATTATCGAAATGGTAAAGAGAGAGAGAGAGAGAGAGAGAAAAAAAATCATGTTCACGAGAGGTCGGGGTGATAACGAAGAAAAAAAGAAAACGAACAGTATAAAAAAATAACCAAAACGCCACGTTTCATTTTTTCCAAGTACTTTTATTCACCTTATTACTCTTACGACTTCAGAAAGAAAAAAAAAAAAATTCCCAATTCCTTTTCTTGTTCTCTTTCTTTTCTTTTCTTTTCTTTTCTTTTCTTTTCTTTTTTTTTTTTTCTTTTTCTTTTTCACGCTGTTGTTCCTGATGATGTCACAATCGATCCGTCATATTATTATCGCGATATTTTTTTTTTTTTTTTTCTTTTTTCCTGTGCACTCGACTAATCAAAATCAACACTCGCATTCTTATCCGCGGACAATGAGAACTATCGAAAACGAAAATGATAAAGAAGAAACGAAACGGGTAACAAACTGTTCCATTTACACAAAACGTTATGTGTTTCTGTTTTTCCTTCCATTTGAGATTGGATATATTGTTGCGCGTGCCGTTACTATGACTAGAGACTTAATAAATCATTAATTTTGTATACTATATACTCGTCGATAGTGTGTGTGTATGTGTGCGTGTATGTGTGTCTGTGTATATATATATATATATGTATATACATATATATATATATAGTATATTTTTTTTTGTATACAAAGAATAAGAAACCATATTGCTTCGGTGGCTCGAGGCTTCGAAATACAAAAACGAGAAACTTTCTCCGAGAGGCCACGGAATTGCGAAAAATACAAAAAGCACAGATCTTATGTTTCCATTTTTAGCCTTTTTCTTTTTTTTTTTCTTTTTCTCGTTAAATATTTAAGTACCCTTCTTCCTTCATTTTGAACGCCGCCGTTTCGCAATGCTAGATACGAAGAGACAATGAGAATTAGATTCTTCGTTTCAATTAAAAATGGTATTCCTGTGCATCATTTCGAAATTTCATTGAAAATAATCGAAAATATTGAAGGAAGAAGGCCTTCGTCTCGTATTGGCGCGGAGGAAAGATCGTTTTTTTTTTTTTTTTTTTAATATCTTGTTATCATTATATTATTATTATTATTTTTTTTTTTTGCCTAATTGGTCGCTAGAGGATATGGAGGCGTGTGACATAAGCGCGATTAGTCGAAAAGAGTGATATCAAAAAACTGATTTCGAACGTTATTGTTCAAGAAATTATCTCTTATTTATCTTTTCGTAACGCAATGTAGAATAACGTCTTTAGAAACTCGTCAAATATTTCTTAATAGTCCCTTTAACAGTTTTTTAATCGGATTACACTTGTACTTGTTCTGTTAGGAAAACAATTGGTGGTTTTCGCATTCCGGAAGCCACGCTTCTCCTGCTCGATCAGCCGTCTTTTTCCCTCTCTAATTGATGATCTCAATAGGAACTAACAGCGGTTCAAATATATATATATATATGTATTTAAAACAATTTAAAACATTGAATTACGTAAGATCGTAACAAACGATAATACTTTTACATAACGTTCTCCTTGATCGAATATCGTGAGAATATTAAATGCAAACAAGAATGCAATAAAATATAACGCAAAAATAGAACAATGTTGCGAGAAAACAAATAGATGTGGCAGCGTGGTCGCCGGAAAGCGATTGGACCGTAATCCCGCGGTACTGAACAAGTAGATTCACCATTATCTTCTTAGATACTTATATATTAAATATTAATATTATTATAAATTACAATCATCATTAATATTAATATTAAACATTATCATTAATATTATTACTTTAAATGCATATACAGTTTAAACATGTAATTTCTTCGATAAAAACAGGACAGAGAATAGAGGTGAAATGGAAAGGAGGAACGCAAGGTATGAATAGCGAATGAAAAGAAAGAGGGACGATACAGGGTATAGATAGATAGATAGAAAGCGAAAAGGATACATTAAAAAAAGAGAGGAATCGAAGAATAATAATGAAGTCGAAGAAAAGAAAGAACGACGAGGGTGAGAGAGAGAGTTTGATCTTGCGGCCCGTGGCGTCGATCCGTGATTCTTTGGGTCCTATTTCAAAGGAACTTATAGGATAACTGTTTCGAGAATACGTGTCTTTCTCACACGTTACGAGGATTCTTCGATACAGGATCGACATAACAGAGAAAGATAAATGGGACTCTTGCTTTGGCGAGAGTTAGGAGGAACTCTTCTCGGTCTCGCTGTTTTCTAATTGAAGAAACAGAGGATAGAGGCGAACTACGAACTAAATACACGTTACATTTAAATATCCCTTCTGTTCATACTTTATACTGGCTCCTCGCGAGCGTGCATTCGAATCAGCGACGAGGCGAAGTACGTTTTCTTTTGCTCATCTTATTTATATCGTGTTGTTAATCGTTTTTTTTTTTTATTTATTTATTTCCTTTGATATTTCGACAATTCAAATTTCGATGAAAGGTAAATCGAAGGAATAACTTAGAAATATCTTTTTTTTTTTTTTTATATTTATGTGAATTTTGATTCGCAACGAGTTCTCTTCGAGATTTTACGAGTATTCTTGCATCTGAATTCGTTCACTCTCTAACAATCTCTGTAACTCGAACATTCACTCACAATTTCAAGCAAAGAGAAGAAAAAAAGGGACACAAGAATGTATATACGTAAGATGGTCTATGGTAGATATCTATACAAAATAAATAAAGAATAAATCTATAAAAATTACAGATATTAATGTAAACTCGACGATTATAGTCACAAAAGATGATGCAATCTTTGCGAATCTTTTTTTTTTCCCTTCTCCTTATCTAGCCATCTTTTAAGAAGGTAAAAAAAAAAAAAAAAAAAAAATTGACGATAAAAGAGGAATTTAAAATCGAAATTTAAACGTAAAAAGGAAAGGGGAGAAAACGAAAAGAAGAGAGAAAATATGATCGGAGATAGTGACTTATATGTCGGGACTCGTGGATGACCCACTATGTACTTAATAGCAGATGCTTTTTGTTTGCGGTACTTCGCGTTTTGTGTGCAGATGTATGTATGTAGTTTTCTATGTACGTATTAATACACGTGCGTACGGTGTGCGTGTAGGTTGAATGCAATATGCGAGATTATCGTAATCTTGGCTGCTCGTCGACATACGTATATATATAATATATATATGTATATATAGTTTTCACGATCATGTTTACTTTTATGCCGTGCACGAGCGACCATTTTTCCTTCTTTTTTTCATATCGTGTTCTCGCCTGGTACGACTTGCTTCGTGCGTGTCGAAAAAAAAAAAAAATGTAAAATCAACCGCCGGAGCAGCCATGTCGGCGCTTCATCGGCAGTGAACGCTCGGAACCTTTTTTCTTTTTTTTTTTTTTTTTTTTTTTTCTTATTCATAATAATAAAACGCTTCCAGCGACGTAGACCTCGGATGAGGAGTGTCGGGAATCGATTCTTTATTTCAACCTTCGAATTCGGGAAGATCTTCGAGAAGATGCTATCAAGATATATANGCTATCAATATATATATATATATCAACAGCACGTACTCTTCGAAATTGCCAAATAGTCCTTGAGAAAGGGGAGGAGAGAAAGGAAGTAACGCGCACGACATCGAAGAGATATGGCTGTCAGCCTTGGTGCTGCTCTCCGTTCTGTCGTTCTTCCTTTCGCCACGCTTCTTTCTCGATTATCATCATCATCATCATCATCATCATCATCATCATCATCAGTCGTACGTTCGAATATATCGAACAAACGGTATATCCATATACTAGAAGCGCTGATATTCATGAGTGATTTTATCGCCGACTTTGCCACGTCGCCAGGTTAAATCGACGACGCGTTTCCGGTAGTCCTTTTTACCACCACAACCCAAAACGTTCTTAAATTCGCTGCCGCTACTGCTGCTACTACCGTGGGTCTTTTTACTGTTGTTGTCTAACGGATGTCCAAACTTTCTGATCAACGTCAACTCCGGTGAACCGGGCGAATAATTCGCCTCCGTTGAGGACACGGACACGCCGACTTCGGTGGCCAAGTGGTGGTACTTGATGCTTATGCTGTATGCTGATTGGCTGTAGTTGGTTCTGTGGAGGAACGTCTTGGGATTAACCCCAAGTTAGTTCCAAATACGCAAAAATGAGTCCCATGAGCCCGTCCCTACTGCCATACCATCCTCCGTAACGCCGAGGCAAGACACACGATTATCGTGACCGGCAAGAATTCCTGTAAAATAAAAGAAAGGATTTTGAAACAGCTCACTTTTTTGCCGTATTTTTCTATATGATAACGTAAGAAATACTTCATTCATCGATATTTCGAATAAAAATACTGCATATTAAAAATAATGTTAATCAGTATCATTTCTTGTATCGATTAAAAAGATTAAAAAGATAAAAGATAAGAATAGAGAAAAAGAAAATAAATTAAAAAGAGAAGGGCTTAAAATAAAGTTTCTCTTCTCTTCTAAAAGGCAATCTTTGATATCGAATAAAAATAACGTACCGGCTCGTTCGGCCTTCATGGAATCCCAAACGTTGCAGTTAAAATCGTCGTAGCCGGCCAGCAATAATCTACCGCTCTTGCTGAACGCTACGCTAGTGATACCGCAGATAATATTGTCGTGACTATACATCGCCAGTTCTTGATCTGCCCTAATATCGAAAAGTCTGCACGTTGCATCGTCTGAACCCGTCGCGAAAGCGTATCCATTCGGGAAGAACTGAATAATAAAATGAAATTTCCATTAAAATCACTGATTTTCCTTTCTCGTGTGAACGGATTGCGTGTCGAATTCTTCTATACGCAAAGAGAAAAATTATCTAGAAGATTGATATTTTAAAAAATAAAATTTACCGTAACAGCGTTTATATCGCTCTCATGGCCTGGGAAAGTTTGTTTGCAAGTTCCTTCACGAATGTCCCATAATTTTGCACTAGCATCACACGCACCAGATACGAATGTGCGTGTGTCAGGAGCCAAAGACAGGGACATAACATCACCCGTGTGTCCAATAAAGGAGGTACATTGTTGACCAGTTTCTATATCCCACAGGGCACTGATCAAAAAGAAAAAAAGAAAGAAACATAATATTTTGACACAATCCACATATTTTTACACACTATATAATTACCGATCAGAAAATGAGAACTGGAAACAATAAGGGAAAGGATGGAAAGGCTGGGACATCTTTTTATTTTATATTCATTTTTAAGTCATCTTCCTAAACGAAATAAATCCATGTTCAGCGGGATTGTTATGCAAATAAGTAGTAAGGTGCCAATTAGAAATGATTTAGATCAACGATTAGATGAAAATTATAAATATAATAAAAATAAATGTTCCTTACCAAGTCATATCGCCAGAACTAGTGACAATTTGGTTGTCGTCATAAAATCGACAGCAAGACAAGTACCCAGTGTGACCTGGGAGTTCTCTGCTAACTCTTACATTTCCTTCCCTAGTTTTTAGACTATAGATGGAACAAATGTTATCCAGCCCACCGCAGGCTACGAAACTACCTGATGGTGCGTACGCACAGGTCATCACCCATGAGGAGCGCAAAGGGATTGCATGAACTTTGTTGGTGGTATAACTGTCCCAAACGATCAATTTTCCATCTTGCGATGCTGACACTAAATTTCTGTCAATTCAATGAAAATAATGTATGAACGAATATTTTTCTTTCACTTTTAACAGATAAGAAATATATTTAAAATCAAAAAATCATGCTTCCTCAAGATACCTTGAATCACTGCCCCAATGCATGGCATAAATCTTGGCTAAGTGACCACGAAGTGTGCGTCTCGTACGCATTTGTATCCGGCCGATAGGCTCCATGCCCGACGTGGCTTGGACCAACGTCGTATCGCAAGCTGCTTTTCTGGCATCCTGAAAAATAGATATAAAAAAATATATAAAAGATTCGTTCAACAAATTTTACATAGTTCAGCAAAAAAAAAAAGTTTAAAAATTATTTCTAAAACATTATTAAGTGAATATATTTTAAATCACTTAATTTGCCTTACATCAAAAAATTTTGTTCAAATCCAATTGACAAAACGTCAAATGTCGCAATTGAACACGCCAACAAGCTAATTTAAAAAATTCTAATAAATTTCAAAAAACCAATTCACAATCTGTAAACGGATTCTAGATTTTAAAGCTCTTCAGACTGGCCACTTCAAATGACTCAGAATGATGCATTGATGCATTCAACAAGGGAACAAGTAGAAGCATTTACTTTAAGGATCCTAATTAACATTGTTTTAAGCTGATGTAAGAAAATGACCATCTTCGATACTATTTCCAGTATTCGCGCTCGCATCGAATTATTCTCGACTGTTCAATTAAACGAGCATGAAAGAAGAGGCATGTATAAATTATGGAAATATTGTTACAGGGTATTTAAGAACGTACATTCTACGTATTACGGTCGCGTATTACCGTGCACGCCTAACGATGCGTGTAATTTCACGCACGCACGAAGAAGGGTGAAAGAGAGAAACAGGTGGTGAGGAGGAACAAGATAGAACGTGAGTAAGCGGGTAAGAGAGAAAAAGAGAGAGGTAGACCGAGCAAGAGAGAGAAGGAACGGTGGCGTATTGATCAGAGTGAAGCGACGGTTATGCCGCGCCCTACCACCACCACACGCTACATCACTACCACCTCTGACAATGAGTTTCATGTTTCCACCACCATATAAGTAGTAGAGAATTCACCGATTGTCATCGACAAGTATTTTCCAAACGGTAAGAATCGAATCAAGTTATAGATCATCTTGCGATCGACAATGATCATTCGATGATCGAATAGTTATTATAAAAAAAAAAAAAAAAAAAAAAAAAAATATGAATGATTTTTAGGAATTATATGATTCTGAAATAGATAGATTTTTTTTTTTCTTAAAAGGAAATTAAAATATATAATGTAATTAATAGTATGAATGGAATATGCAAGAATATTTTTCGATTTTATATATTAAAATTAAAAAATATGATTAACGTGTGATTCAATTTCGATTAAGTTTCGAGCAAATAAAGTTGACGATCTTAAACTATTCTTTATAAGTATTATAAGTAATAAAATCGAATATTGATTTTTAAAATTTAAAAGAAATTAGAAATATAATTGAAATATAAATGAAATAGAATAATAAGAAAGGAGTATTGTTTTAATAAACAATAATTTGTGATTTTTTCAATCGTCTAAGATTGGATAAAATAAAGAATAAAAAATTACTGGCTCGTTAGGGAGAGAATAAGGGTCAGTTGTTTAATGCCAAGTGCACTTCGAGCTGAAAGACGCCCTAGACTTTTTTTTTTATTAAGACAATGCATCGCTGTTGCATGTAGAACTGTTGCTTTGTCCTCAATGTTTTAGAAATTGCCGGTAAACAAGGAGAATATACGAAATGCTACAATTTTAATTAGTTTATCTAGTCCATAGTCTAAGAGATTATTGAATGAATCAGTAGAAATCTCTAATTGTATAAAATATTAAATATCGAAATTAAAACGAAAAATCACCGCCCAATATTATCGCGAGAATACTATCTTTTACGGTTTATAGATAATTTATTGACAGGAAACAGTCGCGATATGAAATTCCATAGTGCTTAGTTAATACCATCAAACGAATTGATTGTGAACAAATTACATTCACTATAATCACTTTGTAACAAAATTATATACTTAAAATTATTCTTCAAGTAATCCATTAAACAAAATTATCCGCTGAAATAATTTTCATTCATCTTGTAAGTTTGGACATGGATATACATGATTAACATTGTCTTTTATCCCTGGAAATTAAGTTCGCCTTCTAAAGTTATTTAAGAAAAATTCTACATAAATTACCTATTCTCAATGGACAATGAGAATCAACTTACTCGAATGGCATTTTTCAGCTTGTCCGATTCCTGACGTAGGGATTCGAGCTCGCTGCTCATGATGCCTGTCTAATGATGCGCTAAGCGTGACTACCCGTGAAGGGTGGAAAAGGGAGGTTCTCGAGGAGGAGGTGGTACACCTCCAACAAAGCCTAAAATGTGATTTTTCAGGAATGGATTAATCCTATTTCGTATGCCTTCTTGCTCGAAGGTGATTGGGGCCCAGTGTCACGCCGTCGACGCTTTCTTCGATGGCAGATAGACGCTCTCGAATTTTCCACCACCAGGGATGGGAAAGGTTGAAAATAGAAGACGATCGAATTTCCTTCTCCAGCGGGTCGCACCAGCCTTTTCCAGTCGTTCTCTCTGATCTGTTGCTGTCGCGGCTTCCGTTTCCGCCGCTACCACCGGAACCAGAGCCAGACCACCGCTGACTCTCCCGCCCCACGCGCCAGCTTCGATACCTCCTAGCGAGACCGTTGCCACCCCTGAAAGCAGAATCACAGAAATTGCTCGTAATTGCCTCTAGAATTTTTTTTCTCTTTAAATCAAACAGCTTAGGACAAGAGTTTTTCAGAGGTTAAAGAATTGATTGACTTAAGCTTATTGGATCAAATGATGATTCATAAGAATAGATTTAAGATTAATCATTTGGATAACCAAGTAACATAAAAGAATATAAGATAAAATGGATTATTGATTTTAATAGTATTCACTTAACTTTGAGTTGAAAGATATCAAGATAATGATCAAAAGATTTCAATATTGAATAGTAATATTGAGTAAAATTCTGATATATTTATATTAATTTTATATTTTATACTATTATCAGAAGAAATACACAATCAATTTTGAATTATTCTATTTTTATTTAACCTACCTATATTTCGTGTTAATATTATAATTAATATTATTTTTTTATTTGTATATTAATAATTAGTATATATAATATTAATAATTAATAGTGTCATTAAATATTAATTGTTGAATAGTGTTCTAAATTTATGTAAATTGTTTCATCTTTTCTTTCTAAATCTAATGTTGATATTCATATTTTTATTAATATCAGAAAAAAGTTGTTTTGTGAAACATGTACGCAAAGAGCGTCGTATTACATGTTTTAGGTGCTATTTTTAACTAACGAACCAACCGTCTGGACCAAAATAATGTACCAACTTCTGGAAAATCTAAATAATTTAAAAGGGTTCATACTTCCTGTTCTATTTTCCACATATTTTCTTTGACTTCTAGTCAATCTTTAACATAACACTCATTCAATGTGAACAGCAATCTCACCAACATCTTAACTTTTTAAGCTATATTGAAATTTCGTGGCAACGAGTGTCCTTCACCTCCAAAAGGTCTCACAACCCGGGGAACCTAAGGGTTGTCGATCCAACGCAAGGTGTTCTCATTTTCCGGAACCGATAAAATCATTTGGCGCATGAGCAAACATCGTGAAACGAAATATAATACTGGATGTCTAAAAGAAAGAAAAAAAAAAAAAAAAGAAAAGAAAAAAAAGAAAAAAGAAGAAAAAACTCGTAAAAAGGAAGAAACCTTGATGAACTCTTCCTTATATCTTTAATAATCTTTAAGAATAAAAAAGAAAAGAATAAAAAAATATCTTCTAATAAATTTTTTGAAATAACTTGACTAACATTCTTTGCTATAATTCATTTTTTTCAATCACTATATCTTTAACTTAATAAAAAATGTATAAAATTTTTGCAAGATACACCAAATTATACGAAAAAGACGCATAAGATCCAGTAGCACTCACCCGCTCCGTCCGCCTTCCACTTCTGTCAGAGCGTCATGAATCCCGAACAAACATAACCTCTCTGCGTGGAAGGTTCGTGCAGAGAGTAAAGGGTGGCCTCTCTGAACCCGTTGTCTACCGCCAGATTGCGCCGTCGATGGAACGTTAGCAACTAGCAGAAGCGTCCAAGAGAAAACCGGAAGAAAGAACACTTTTCTAGCAGGAATCGAACACAGGTACGCACACGCACAAGAAGCGGTCAAATGCGGCCATTGGTGGTGCTAGCTTTCTTTTCATGCCGCGTTCACAGAACCGTGGAAGCGACGAATCGATGAAGAGTCGTGGCTCGCCCCACTAGTCTATCTCTCTCTTTCACTCACGCGCTTTCACCCTCTCCTTTTCTCCCTTAAACTTCTCCCTCTATCGTTCGCTATCCCACACTATCCTTCTTCGTCTGTTGTATGCACGCTCGGTAAAAGAGCACATACACGAATATGTATCTTCAATGTGTATCTTCCTGAATGATTCGAAAACTGGATAAAAAGCTTGAGATTTGTATAAAGAGAAGATTGGAGATACAATGAAAACTGGACACAAACTTCGAGACACAGTTTCGAACCACACCCAGGGAGGACGTGGTTTCGAGAGAAGACCGCCTGGGCAGATGAAACGGACAGAGGGAAGGGATGAGCGACGCTGGCGCCACGGCGCCCGTATACCGACTGACTACCGGCGTCGCCACGACGCCATTGTCGGTCGTGTGACAGGTTGCCGTTGGCGGTAGCATGTTCAGAGATTGTATTAATCGCTGTTTAACACGATCCTAGAAAAGACTTGGTTGTGATCGATTCGAACAGGGAGGGATTAACATGGTTAGTTTCTTGGAAAATAAATGCAGAATCGAAGGTATATGTTCTAAATATTTGGTCATCTTGGTCTTCCAGATAACCCTGGAACTATTTTAAGAAATATACATTTGCTAGCATTCAGGAAATTATATAGGTTTGTTATTTGAAAATTTCGCTGAATCATAGAAATGAATATTTTTATTTCCTTATTTTATATATCTAATAGTAGAACTTTTTTTTCTGATTAATCATTTTTTGCTGATATTTTTGTTAATTGTGTAATATACTATTGAATTTTCTGTAAAATTAAATTTTATTTATAATCGTATGATTTTTTTTAATCAAAATTATAAGATATAATATCATTTTATTTCGGATTATATTAAATCTTGGAAGATATACGAGAAACTTTCGTTGCCAAACAAAATTAGATAGCAAGCAATTTGAAATGTTATCTAGTATTCGAAGTATCATTGGTCCTTGTAGTACGCCAAGTGCTATAATATTCTATTAATCTTCGAGAAGTTGATATTACGTGTCGACCATTGCCTACGAACGATAGAATAAAATACTTAATACTATATACGAAACGATATATATATATAATCACATCTATATTATCGCAAAGTTGCAACTACGTTACACAATTCTAATAATCTTCATGCAACTAGAACAGATCGCAGTAAGAATGCTTAATTAACGATCCAGAACATCTTTGTTAAATGCAACAGAGAAAACCTCAAGTCTATCACGTTCGACCTATATTCCTCTTAATCTTATCAAGGAATAAGCAACCAACATTTTTCTCTATACTGTAATATCCGTATGGATCGTCTGGCTTTGTCATTCTTCAGACATTCAACTCATCGGTGGGGGAGGTTGGTTAGACCTATCTAACAGAAGAGTTTTCTATCATAGGGATCCCCAGGCCTTTCTACATGCGTTCCCGGATGCACGAATGGGAGCAACAGTTGAACCACGCGGGTCAACGTCCAATACGATCTCTCTTTCTCTCTCTCTCTCTCTCTCTCTCTCCCATCTGCTTCGTCTCGGCTGTATACAACCGCGAGGCTGCCAAGTACCTCACACCAAGCGTGCACTTCGACCAAGTCCCTGGCACGGCCCAACGGTTTTTACAACGGACGAAAAAGAATGGGAGAAGCCACGAAAAGATCTAACTGAACGACGACGTGCAACGTGTGTCGACGATCGTCGTTGGGACGCCTGTTGGCATTGCACCTGCCAAGAGTTCGTTCCAATGAATGCTCGCCACTACCTTTATTTCCAGTACACATAGCAGTGTTTATTTATTCGTCGTTCCTCAACTACGGAGAAGAATTATTTCTGCCAAAAGAATCGTACACAGGCGTCGTGAAAATATTTGATTTCCGATATTGCATTTGTTGTTCCTCTACTTGTTTCTTCCTTGAAAGAAGAGGAAAGTTGCACGAGATTTTTCTAAAGATTATGTCAATGTCCTCGAGATGAAAAGTATTTTTCTCATAGAAGAAAAGAAAGAAAATATATAATTTTTTTTTTTAGGAAATTTTAAATTAATCTTTTGAAGATAAAAGTTGTTTCGTTATATAATTTAGAAATTATAACGAAAGGAGAATGGTTACATGTGAAATGGTTACGATAAAATAGATACTAAGGATATTAATTACAAACTATTCTTAGATAAAGAGGCTTCGTTACCGCGGAACTGGCTCTGTCTACGGAATGATATTGTGGTATTACAGCTGATGACTGTAATTCACATCAGCATGACCTACTTTTCGAACGCGTAGAATCGAGGAGGATCAGTTTGCAGCCAGGCAAAAGTGGCTGGCTGACTTTTAGTCACGTTAATAAACTTCTTATCAATTTGAACAAGACCGGAAAAAACAAAAGTCACGAATTGTTTCGAATTCTCACGAACGATTAAAGTAACGATATTCGCCTCCTCAAATTACGGCGACCTTTGTCACGTGTGCTAAACACGAAATATGAACAGGAATATTTTTTCACCCGAGTTCTCAATTTTTAGCACAATGTCTTAGAATAGTACGTGCATAAAGAACACGTTGGTTTAAAATAAATTGTGACGCAAGTCGATCGATCTATCAATCAATCTTCAAACAGGTATCGCCAAAGAGGAACTTGTTCGTTTTCTTTTGACGGTCGATTTCCCCTTAAAAGCTCCGAACAGACGTAGACAATGATCGAACGTAATCACGGAACGTTTAATTCATGGTTATCGAATATTGATTAAAAGCGTTTAATGCACTTTTGTTACGAACGTACACAAACACAATGAAAGTTCGATTATTAGGGAAAGTATCCTCGCTATTATCATCAATTATTGTAGGTAAAGAATAGAAGATAAGTTCGATTACCACCAGCCTATGAACAATTCATAATGATTGTAATATATATATATATATATATATATATTTAAACTATTTTTAGCCATTTATAGACACATGCTTTTTTCCAACTTGGTTGAAGTACCGTCAATTGTACCAGGTGTATGAAGCAAAAGTGTAAATTATGGATTTACTTTAATAAAAGAAATCTTGAAACCTTCAATCGTATACCCCCAGTATACCCTACTTTGTAAAGGCGAAGAAGGGATACCTGATGGAGGGTATTTTTTACATGATTCGATCGATTCCTTTTCTTAGGGAAAATATTGTCCCAAATCTATATGTATATTTGGATCTTTATAAGCAGATGTATATCTACGAAAAATCCTTATGGTCGGTACACAACCGCAGAGTAACGAGCTATGAAAAATTCGTGTATTTCTCATAGGTTACAGACTATAGAGTGGTTCGACGTTGAAATAGTAAAACGAGAAAATGTATACGGAGCAATTGAACGAGATAAAGCAAGATGAGAGATATGATGCAGAGAATCTAGCAGCAGGTGAATGACGTCAAAATGCGAACCGTGACGTCAGAAAGTAACCTGAATATGGGATTCCTCGTGTCAAGATTTTTCGTTCATTTCTAACCTTGGTCTTTGCCCGGATTAATTAAATTTTTGATGAATTCATTTTGATGTTTCATTCCTTTAAGGATATCATATAAGACATTTAATTCTGCTTTTTAGTTTTAATTCAAGCATGATTCCATAAGATATTCCAAAGAATATTTTTATGAATGAATATATTCTTAAACTTGTTCAAACTTGATCGCTTTTCTTCTGAAAAAGAAAGAAGAGAGATATTATTTAATCTTTAAAATTGATTCAATTGATTTTGATGAAAATATGAAATTGTATTTTTTCATTAAACTTATATAACTTGAACGATAACGAGCTAATATCTTGGAGAGGTTATAAAAATATCTATAAAAATATTTATATGAACATGAAAGATTGAATTTCCATGAAACTGTATCATGGGAATGCAAATATGTGTTAAGAAATTAAGCTGCAAACAGATCGTTTCGCTATTTTTACGGACCACTGTGACGTCAGAAGAAGATAGGAGAGCAAAGCGGGAATTTGAATGTTTGGATTATCCAAGAATCCAGAAGGCTCGTGGACCAGTTTAAAGGAAATTGGGCTGTTGTAAAGACAAACAGGTTTGTTTGTCCTCTCTAATCTGGTTATTATCATCGACACTCAATTCAATCCTTGCATCCAATTGAAAACTCTGTAACTTAAAAAAAAAAAAAGAATCGTTCTTACATCCAATTCACTCACTTTTCTACTTTATCTATGAATCCCTTCGCTAATTTACAACAAAGCATACGCTAGCGATGAAAAAATAGAGAAATTTAACGATTGTTAACGAATTTCAGGAACTGATTTGATTTCAAAACTCTTGTAGATTGAAGGAAAGGCTTTTAAAATCAGCAACCCTTCTTTCGATTACTTTTCACTGATTCGTCCATTAAACGTGCAGAAAGAACAATTCATGACGGACGAGGAGAACGTGTAACAGGACGTGACCCCGCAATGAAGTGGGGTCGGAGGGGGTTGGAGGGTGCCAGGAAAGAAGGGAATTCGCTAGTTGTGTACGTCATTGGCATTACTTTCGCATTGAGTAAGTACTTGACGACCTACTAACCGTCCTACGAAACGTGATCCTCATTAATTCTTTTGTATCCGTCGACGAGACATCTCGTTCACTTATTTTTTAATATTTAAAAGTGAATGTCGTTAAGAAAAAAAAAAAAAAAAAGAAAAAGAATTATTTTCTAAAATTTAAGACATTTGACGTTTAATATTATTCATTACTTTTTATCTTGTGGCGCGATGTTGATAATGCATTATTCATAGAAGATATCTTGCGGTTTGTTTTTCAATATTTACAACTGAATATTATTTTATATATAAGAAAAAATGAAGAAAAAGAATAGTGACAATATTCTTATATTCTAGAATGTAACATATACATTATATTTTTCTTGAAAATACTAATCGTTCTTATGAATGCATGCTCTGACTTAACTCCTACTATTCTTACGTTTAAAGTACGCATTTACTAGATAACTTTATTTATAAATCCATTAGCAAATTCCAGACGAAAAGCACTATTTATTCCTTTTTCTTTTTTACTATTACAGAGCCACTAAAAATTTATTTTTAAAGATTCTACGAATGAGATATTTCGTAAATTCATTTTAATCTCGGATCTTTGATAAAATATCTCGCAATTGAACAGCAAAATACGCAAAACATCTAATACAAATAAATGTGAAAGAGTTTGAAAATTATTAAAAGAATATTTCGGATTTTATATGCCCTCTTATCTCGTCAGGATTTGACACGAAAGATAAGCATTATTTCCATGTGTTGAATTTACACTAAACAGT